TATCGTGGTTTTGACTTGCATTTCTCTGATGATAGCAATGTTGAGAATCTTCATGTTGGCCATCTGTATTTCCTCTTTGGAAAAATGTCTACTCAGGTCTTCTGCCCACTTTTTGATTGGGTTGTTCAGTGTTTTTTTGTTTTGTGTTTTTGATGTTGAGTTGTATGAGCTGTTTGTATATATTGAATATTAACCCCTTATTGATCATATCATTTGCAGATACCCTTTCCTATTCAGTAGGTTGTCTTTTTGTTTTGTTGATGGTTTCCTTTGCTGTGCAAAAAGGTTTAAATTATGATTATATAAGATGTTAACATTAGGAAAACTGGGTGAAAGCTGTATTATTTTTACAACTTTAATGGAATTCTAAAATAGCTCAAAATGAAAATTTATGGGGAAAATAAAAACCTTCCCATGGATACTTTTCCTACTGGAAGACTACTCCATTAAAACCCAAACTCCTTATTCTGTTTCTCAAGACATTTCTGATCTGAGTTTGCTGACCTCCCTCAGCCTCATCTCGTTTCCTTCGTGTTCATCTCTTGACACCCTCTGGGCATTCTTCCTGGCTGTGTTGGCAGTTTGGGCACCACCTCAGCCTGGAGTCTCCAGGAGTTGGGACTATTAGGATAGGACAAAGGTCCATGCCCCAGATTGGGACAGCCCTGGGAAACAGTGCCTGAGCTGTCAGGCCCAGGGTGGGAATAGGAACTGGCTCACATCAGACAAAGGGCAGGAGCTGCATTCAAGAGACAGGATTAGTGGCAGTGGTCAGAGTCTCTGAGGCAGGGGTAGTGGGCTATGTGGGCAGGCGGCCCCAAGCTGGTTCCCACAGCTCTGTGCCATTCTTCTGTGCAGTCCTGATCTTTCATACCTCTGAGTACTTCTTGTGCGCTTCTCTCTGCCCAAGCTCCTTGGTTTTTCTATTTCCACCTAGTCAACTTTCAACATGCACTGTCTAGCTCATGCCCTAGGCTGGTAGCTCTCTTTACATTATTGAGCTCCTTCAAATCCTCTGTCATAGTCTTCTCCATAGCCCCAGCTCAAAGTAGATGCTTAGAAAAGGTCTAAATGGATGATTGTGGGTGGGGCTGTGTCTCAGGGTTTGTTCAGCAACACTCGAGTTGTGGTAAGCTCTGTGCCAGCGTTGGGAGCACTGAGATTAACAAATTAGGCAAAGTGTGCTCTTGTGGAGCTCCCACTGTAGAGGGCAAGACAGACAATAAACAAGTGAACAAATACAATAATTACAGATTGCAGTGAATGCCTTGCAGTAAATAAACTACCAATGAAGGAGAGAAGAGATTCTAGAATGTTGTCGTGGTTTTTGTTAGGTGGGCTTACTAGGAAACTCATTCTTTTTGCTTGCATTTTATGGTTCCTGCTACAGTGAATGTGTTTTTTTTTTTTTTGGTTTTTTTTTGGATGCCAACTGTCTTACTATTTTCTTGTCCTGAGCTCCTAATGCAACCTTTTACCTATAATGATAAAATTCAGGTTAAGGTCTGGGAAGATGGAGTCCACTGAGTTGGTGTCACACAGTGGGCTTCACCCAAGAGATGACAAATGGGGAGGTAACTAGCTGGCATAGGAAAGAATGATCAGCTCTGCTGAGGAGAATCAGACAAGGCTTCGCAAAACAGGAAATACTTGATCTGGAATCCTGAAGAAACAATTAGAGTTTGGAGGCAAAAATGTGGAGGAAGGAATTGGGCAAGTCATTCCACACTTTGAGCCTTAGCCTTTTCATCTGTAAAATGGGGGCAGTAGCATGTCTTCACTGGGTTTGGAGTCAATTAAATGAGACAGGTATATAGACACCTCCCTCCCCAGCTGCAGCACAGTGTCTGGAGCATATTAGGTAATGAGGAGCTAATTTAGGTTTTAGTATTATAGATAAACACTCTGTAAGTGCACTAGTTGTGGCTTTGGAGGAATTTGCTCCTTTTCACTGTTCTGATCTTCTCAACAGGCCGAGGACACTGGTTAGTGGCTCGGAAATGTAGCCACAAGAAGAAGCCCAAGGGTGTGGTTGAGGCAACCGCTGAAAGTCAGGAAAGCCAGAAGATTTCTTTTGAGGTCGGAGGGAAGAAAGTGTCTCGACAGGAAAACCAAGTGGACACTGCTAGACATGTGCTGGACCGGGCTTTTCTTGTGAGAGGAAATGGATCCTGGAATGGCTGGCAGCACCAGCTAATGACTGTCTTGGTGGGGGGCAAGGACTTGCCCAGTACAGTTACCCCTAGTCCATCCCAAACTATTAGAGTGATCTTGGCAAATTGAGTACAGCCAGATGATGAAGGGACCCAAAGCTCTCTTAATTTGTAAAGCTTTTTTATATCCACCTTGTGAGATCGGTATTATCATCCCTATTATGTTGTTGCCAGTGTGCAGATGAGAAAACTGAGGCGCCGAGAACTAATTTGCCTTTGCCAAGTTCCCTCAGCTATTAATTAGGACTGTGGTCTACCCAGGATTAGAACTACTGAGGATTAGAACTCTGGTCTACTGACTCCAAAGCCTGTGCCTTTATGTTTTATCAGATAAAAACTTATAATAGAGTTAGAGAGGCAAAGAAGTAGGTCAGGGAGAGTTAGTAAATTGAAAATCCTATTCCAGCACCTAGTAGGATGTAAAGATTCCTGCTCTGCTCTGGGGAGATTGCTCTAGGAGCAGAGGGATTGAGGAGGTCCCACACATCACAACCTTTGTTCTTTGGGTTTAGTGTCTGGCTAAAGGCCAGGAATGCCAACCAGATATTACCCAGTGTCTAGAGAAAGCTTTACAAAGAGGGCTTGAGTGGCTGTGCTGGAGACCAGCCATGTAATTTTACATCTGCTCTGTGCAATGCCTTGGTGGCTTTGCAAAGAGAGAGACATTTTGTAAGCCGATATTAACATACAGTCCAGTGCTCATAGCTCCCTAAGAAGAACTCTCTGGCAGCCTGCTTTGTGCCCAGGCTCTGTTTATGGTTCCCAAAAGATAGATTTCTGCATGGATCAGATGTTGAAAGAGGGCTTTAAGGGGGCAGCTGATTGCATCTCACCTCAAGGCAGGTAGTGTAAACTTTTTGCAGAGTCCTGGGAATTTCTTTGATTATGATGTCCACTTCTTGGGGGTGAGGAAGACAAACAACAGGACTGAGGAGAAACACTTCCCATAGTGATCTTCTTTTCCCCTTTGTTCCCAACATAACGATTATGTCCCACGTTAATCGAGATGGCTTGTTACCCATGTTGCCACTTTGGATAGCAGAAGAAACAAGGATGTTTTTCAGAGTAATGGGATACCTACCTACCTGATGGATAGTTCTACTTGAATGTTTCACTGGCACCGCATATTGAACTACTGCACCAATCCCCTTTTACCAAGTCCCCAAAATATTTCTTTTCTAGTGTTTACTACACTGTGATGGTACTACCATCTACCTAGTCACCAAGCAAGTAACCTGGGGTTATCCTCGACACTTACCTCCCCATCACCACCCCAACCCTTGCCATTACCAAGCTTTGGTACTTTTATTAAATAGTTGTCAAATCTGTATTACTCTCTTCATCTGCACTGCCACCAACCTAATCTGAGCCACTATCATCTTTTATTGGATTAATTGAATAACTGAGGTGCTTTTGTTTCACATAAAACGAAGCCAGAGGCATTGTTATTTCATGGTAGGCTAATTCACTGGTTTAATGACGTCTTCCAAGGCTCATGTTTCTCCATCTTTCTGCTCTTATATCCTCGGCATGTTAACTTGTCTTCTTGGGCTGATTGCGTTCATGATCCCAAGATGGCTGCTGCAGCTCTGGTCATCACATTTAAAGGATAACATCCAGAGGTAGAAAAGAGATTGTTGCTGTCTTTTTTTTCTCTCTTTTTTTTCCATCTTTCTCTTCCTTTTTTTTTTTTTTTTTGGTAAGTTGCTTTTTTTCATTTTTTTTTTATTAAAGTATAGTCAGTTTACAGTGTTGTGTCAATTTCTGGTGTATACAGCATAATGTTTCAGTCATACATATGCATACATATGCTCATTTTTATATTCTTTTTCATTTTAGTTACTACATAATATTGAATTTAGTTCCCTGTGCTATACAGTATAAACTTGTTGTTTATCTATTTTATATATAGTAGTTAGTATCTGCAACTTTCAAACTCTGAATTTAGCCCTTCCCACCCCTTTATCCCCTGGTAATGGTAAATTTGTTCTCTAGGTCTGTGAATCTGTTTCTGTTTGTAAATAAGTTCATTTGTGTCTTTTTTTAGATTCCACATATAAGTGATATCATATGGTATTTTTCTTTCCTTTCTGGCTTAATACACTTAGAATGACAATCTCTAGATTCATCCATATTGCTGAAAATGGCATTATTTTACTCTTTTTTATGGCTGAGTAGTAGTCAATTGTATATATATACCACCTCTTCTTTATCCAGTGATCTGTCAATGGACATTTGGATTGTTTCAATGTCTTGACTATTGTAAATAGTGCTGCTGTGAACATTGGGGTGCATATGTCTTTTTGAATTATATTTTGTCTCTGGATATGTGCCCAGGAGTGGAATTGCTGGATCATATAGTATATCTGTTTTTAGTTCTTTAAGGAACCTCAATACTGTCCTCCATAGTGGCTACAGCAATTTACATTGCCACCAAAAGTGTTGAAGGGTTCCCTTTTCTCCACACCCTCTCCAGCATTTATCATTTGTAGACTTGATGATTGCTGTTTGGACTGATGTGAGGTGATAGCTCATTGTAGTTTTGATTTGCATTTCTCTAACAATTAGTGATGTTGAGCATCTTTTCAGGTGCTTGTTGGCCATCTGTCTTCTTTGGAGAGATGTCTGTTTAGGTCTTCTGCCCATTTTTTTTATTAGGTTGCTTTTTTTTTGATATTAAGGTTTATGAACTGTGTGTATTTTGGAAATTAGCTTATCCTGTGGATCTGCAATTTAAGGACACATTCATTTGGAGAAATGTGAATGATATTGGGGTTCTTTAACAAGGAAGTAGAGAAGTGGCTCTTGGAAAGGCATTTAACAATGTCTGGTGTATTGGCCTCACCCCACCCTTTCATAATCATACTAATGTCAGATTGTTTAGTTAGGATAAGAAGAAAGTTTGTTGATATATTATTTAATACAGTACATGGCCTAAAGTAGTGCTTAGTAAATATTTGATGAATAAATGAATGAGTGAACAAGCCAATAAATTATGACAAATGTATGAGTTTGGTAAAGTCCCAGAAATACAGATTTTTATTTTAAGAGCCAGGTAGAGGAAATGGGGCCCAGAAAAGACGAGAGAAAGAACAGAGAGGAAGGAATCCTCCTAAAGAACCCCATGAAGTCAGTGTTTCTATCCCCATCTTACAAATGGGAAACAGAGGTGGGAGAGCTGAGGTGGTGGCTTGATTCTGAGCAGCTCTAAAGCCCATGCTGTTTCCACTGTATCAGGCACCCTCAACAGGGAGTTATTTTTTGTCTTGGCCAATTACATAAGCTTTGTTTCAGCTAACTCTCTGCACTGTGTTCCAGCTGAAGCACCACTGTGTGGAGAAACCATCAGACCTATGCAG